CAGCCAGTACCCCCCTTCCAAACTGTGAGGACTGCTGGCTGCGAACAGCTCAGAGCTGCCTTCTCTTGGCCACCTGGAAGCCGACGGTGACTGACCAGACAGGCATATGACAACCACGTCCTTGCCACAAAGTGGGTGACTGCAGTGCCTTCAGCTTCCAGAGCTCACCAGGGGTCCTGCTGGTCTCCTGCTGGGGCCACTCTCTTGCCTTGCCCCTCCTCTGCCTGGCCGTTCCCCCCTCCTTTCTTTCCCATACCCCCATCTCCCCATTTCAGCTTCTACCTCCAAGGAGCCCGATCTAAGTGAGTGGGCCGAGGGCAAGCCGTGGGCACACACTCCTCCTGCTGGCCCCCTCTTCTGCCTCCTGCTCTGGAGGGACTCGTTAGCCCAGAAAGTGGGTTGGAGGAATTGCTAACTTGGAGTCTTGATTATGGATTTTAGGCTTTCAGGTGAGATCAAGAAAGATCAGCAAAGGGGCAGAGGGATGCCTGGCTGCCCCTGCACACCTGTACCTGGTCCTGCAGGGCTCTCTGCTGTGGGCCCGCAAGAGGAGCATGGACAGGACTGCCAGGTTCAGGCCTGCTCAGCAGCTTCTCTGCCACATTTCACCCTCGCCATAATTTGTCTTGGCAAGGTGGCCCACTGGCCTGCATCCAGGAAGGGCCTGGGAAGCCATCCAGAACAAACCAGCTTGCACCACAGAAGCCAGAGCTGCCTGCGCTTGAGTCATTGCCAACCCAAAGGTGGCTGGACCCTCCTCTATGGACCTGAAGGAGAACTCAAACTCTGGGAGGGTGGGTAGACATGTAAAGGGAGCCAGGCTCCCAGGTGGATGGAACCCCAAGAAAGGCAGCAGGAGCAGGGACCCAGGCCAGCAGCTTTCCTGCGCTCCATCCCGAGATGGAACTGGCCTCTGGGAACTGGGTTCATGGGCTGGCTGCCTGACCCTGAGGGTCTTTGGCCGCAATTTCATGGCCAGCCCTTGACAGTCCCTCGGGTGGGGTGGCAGCCACACCTCCTTTCTCCTGGCAGCAGCCGCTTCCTCCAACTCAGTCCTGGAGCCTTGGCAGCCCAGCCTTGGGGCTTGGGGCACAACCCAAGGGGATGCAGGAGCAGTGCTCCCTCCAGGGGGGCAGGGGGAGTGGGTGGGAAGGAGTGGCTTGGAGAACAAGATGTCAGGGTGCAGGCCCCAAGGAATAACAGAGCTGATGGCATTTTCCCTTCCCCTTTCACACACTTGGTTCATTTCTCTCAAGGAATAAAATAGCCCAGGGAATGTGAACAAAATGGTGTTCGTGTGGGTGCCCAGCTGGGAAGCTTCTAGATCTTCAGTGTCATGAAGTCTCTGTTCTGTCTGGCACTTGGAGTCCCTCCACCTTCCCCTTGGCTGTTGCTGCGACCGTCAATCCAGCAGGCTACCCCTCCCCGCCCAGCCAGGAAGGAAACTGGGAATCGCAGTCCTATGACCCGAAGGAACTAAATTCTGGCAACATAAGAATGTGCTTGGGAGTGGAAACCAATGTGGTCTGTGTAAAGCAGAGCAAAGAAACTGTTACACTATGTCTGGACTTCTACAGAAACTGTCTTATAGTAAGTCACTGTTGTTTTAAGGCAAAAAAGAAGAGATTCTATAAAGCTAAAGTAATTAAGATAGAGCAGTATTGGTTTAAAGATAGCCAAGAAGACCAGAACACGGATTGTTAACAGACTCATACTATATATGGACTTGATTATTTAGGGGACAGGTGTCCCCTAAAACATAGTGGGAAAAAAAGTGGTCATTTTAGTAAGTGGTGATGAGCCCATTGGCTCTCCACATGTGGGGTAGGTAAAGATTTGTTGAAAGGGCACAAGAAGCGCTAACCACCAAGAAAAGACTGATAACTCTGTGTCCATTTCACTAAGAGGTTATAATTATTAAAAACTCATAATAAGAGTGAAGGAGGAGAGTGGTAGGAAGGTCTGACTGCTGCCCCTTATGTTGGGGGTCTCCTGTGAGCACCAGTCTTCAAAGCTGATGACTTCAAAGAGATGACTTATTCCTTTCTCACCCAGTGGGTATTGCTACTGCCACCGAGGCAGTGACAGAGGAAGGGAGCACCGGGGCATGAGCACAGAGGGGTGAGGTGTGAGGGGGAGTGGACTACCCGAGCTGAGAAGCAGGGGGTTCAGAGAAAGACTAACCAAAAAGCATGTCCTTTCTAGGGGAGAGCGTGAGTGGGGTCTGTGGACTCTCTGTTACCTAGTAAAGTTGTCTTAAGGAAAAGAAATTTGGAGTTCTCTGAAATACCTCGAATATGTTCAAAATCCTCATTTTAAGGTTGATAAAGCAGTAGAGAGAGAGAGAGATGTTGGCGTTGACTCTGACAAGAGGCTTCCAGTTTCTCTTCAAGAGCGTGAAGCTTTGTTCAGCTTTCACAGACTACCCGGATTTGACTTGCGTGCGTAGTATGAGAGAGGGGTCAGGTTTAAGTTTCTCACATGAATACCCAGTAGACCCCGTGGCACTGACGGCAAACACTGCCTTTCCCCACTGCATGGCAGGTTTCATTCTGGGGATTTTTCTTTTTCAAAGACATTAAGGGCTTCACCAATATGGGTGCGGCTGGGGAAAAGGGAATGTTTTGGGGAATAGTCAGCCTGTCTGTGAGTCTTGCAAACAGCGGGCTCTGTCTGAGCCAAATGCAGTCCCAGAGGTTGCCAACCCCAAGGCAGGGCGCAGAACACAGCCATCTGCCTCTGCTGGGTGCCTCTGCTGGGAAACGTGTGAGAAGAGACCAGAGGGCTTCCCGGAGACGCTCTCTCTGAAGGGCAAGGGGCCAAATCTCTGACTCCCTGCCTGCCCCTAGGTCTGTTGACCCCATGGGGAAAGAACCTGGAGGATGGGTTGAAGCTGACAAGGGTCCATTGGTCACCTTGCATCTTGCTACCTCAAGTAGAAACAGTCTCGGAAGATCTGTCACCTGGTTCCAGGAGAGGTGGGACCTGTAGGTCAAGGGAAATTCACTTGACTTAATTCAGCGAGGAACAGCCAACTTCCTCTTCCCCAGCATGACAGGCAGCGGCCATCTCCAGGGCAGATACTCTGCCCCCGTAGAACCCCCACCTGGACCTCTTCATAGTCCACCTCTCTGAGTCCATCCGCCAGCACCTGCAGCTCTTCACCCGAGAGCCTTCTGTGGCTCCGGGACCTTGGGCCAGCCGTGGACGTCCCCAGAGACCCTTGCCAACCTTGGGGCTTTCCTCCTCTGCCTCCAAAGTCGCCCTCCCACTCACAGAGGTCGGTGTGTCCCTCCTCCACTCCCTAGGTGGGGGAATCTCATGGGTTTTGTGTGGGTTTTCAGAGTTCCCTGGTGGGATTAAACTCCACAGAACTCACAGCATAACTTGCTTGGGCTTTCTTTCCTTCCTTGTCTCTCTTCCCTCCTTCCTCACCGGTGATTTCTGAGCTCACCTCCCAGATAAACCCTGTGAACCCAAATCCTTGTCCCAGTTTCTACCCCTGGGGGAATCTATTATTTAGAAAGATTTATTTATTTACACATAAAGAACTTGGGTACAGGCCAGAGGTGCAGGGGCCGTGAGAGGATTCACCAGAGACAGAGTGGGGAGCAGAACTGGCAGACTGACGAAGTACACTGCTGAGGGGAGCAGCGGGCGGGTCAGGAGAGGTCTGCCACACCATGTGGGTCACCTCCGGGGCTGGGGATCGAACTCGCACTGAAGCATCTGTGGCCAGCTTGCAGTGCTGTGTCCCAACCGGTCACACCACCAGGGAGGGCCTTCTGGGGGAATCTATTTTAAGACAACCTCCATTCCAGGTGAATAATGCCACCCTGAACGTAGGCATTGGAGCCAAGAGTGGGATGTCCTTCGCTCATGTGGGGCACCCAGCTGTAGGGGTCAATTCCAGTGAACTAAGCAAGTCTGTCCCATGCCCAAGGCCTCAGGGCAGTCGTGGAAATAAGAAGCGGTCATGGGATAACATTTGTTGGCTGTGGGGTCTCCGAGCTACACAGATTTGTGTAAGATCCAGATTGTTTCTGCCTCTCGACCTAACATCACCCTCACACTCAGGATTGCTGAACTATTGAGAATGGAGTAACTTGTGACGAAAGAATGTGGGAAGTCAGGGAGGTAATAATCCACGAAGCCAGGAAATTCCTGGGTTGCTTAGTTGGCAACCAGACGGAGACTTAGGATTGCCTGCGAGCTTGTCTTGTGCTGACCCATGACTCACAGTCCAATTTGACTGATTGTCACCGATTTGTTGGCTACAAAAAGGCTGATGTGATGCCAACTTTTGTTGAGTTTTCTTTCTTTCTTTTTTTAAGATTTTATTTTAGTTATGCATACAGAACTGGGGTACACGCCAGAGGTGCAGGGGTGAGAGGGTTCACCAGAGGCAGAGTGGGGAGCAGAACAGGCAAATCTACTGAAACACACTGCTGAGGGGAGCACCGGCGAGACAGGAGAGATCTGCTGCACCGTGTGGGTCAGCTCCTGGGCCGGGGATCGAAATGGTGTTGCAGTGGCTTGCTAGAATTGAGACTTAACCCCTTGCGCCACCAGGGATGCCCTTTTGTTGACAGTTTTCATCCGAGTGGCAGTCTTGAGCAGCGCTTGTACTGATGCTGGTAGTTGGGTGGCACAGAAGCTGGTGCCCTGCCCAGATGCCCTCCAGGAACTTGTTCATACAATCTGACAACAAAAGCCTAACAACAAAGGCCTTACTGGTGGCCTTGCCCTGCACCTGGGAGGCGTGAGGAGGGTGCCAGAGGGGCAGCCTCCTGGGGGCAGCCCTAAGGCGGGAGGGTCCCAGCCCTTCTGTCCCTCGCATGGGGAGCCCTCAAGTGCCATCAACCCTGTCTCCCAGAGTCCTCCAGCAGGAAACTTGCCTCTGGTGCAGTTTCTAGGGGAACCAAAACTAAGACACGTGAGAAAGAACAGTGTGAGTCAGCCCGGGCTGCCACAAAAAACACTGCAGACTGGGGGGGCTTTAAACAACAGAAATTTATTTCTCATAGTTCTGAAAAAACTAGCAGCCCCGGACCAAGGCGCCAGCTGCCCTGGTGCTTGGTGAGAACCCTCTTCCCGGCTTGTAGGCAGCCACCTACCCGCTAGGCCCGACCTGGGGGCAGGGTCCCCTCTGACAGGACCCTGTTCTGTCATATTAGGGCCCCTCTCATGGCCTTCCTTGGTCTGAAGCACCTCCTGGAAGGCCCTAGCTCCAAAGACAGTCACGTGGGCCGGGGGCTGGTTCAGTGTATGGATTTGGGGAGGACGCTGCTGAGTCCACAGCGACCTCACAGGCGGTTGGCTTTGCCCGCTGTCGGCGATGTGGACACTCACGGTGGCGTGAGCACGGTTTGTGAGCTCGTGGAGAGAGGGCCCTCCCCGTCCCGCCGGAACACCTGACCATCCCGGGAGCCAGCGTGAGCCCAGTTAGCCCCTCATCCAGTCTGGATTGGAGCTCTGCAGCGGCTCACCTGGAGGGTGCCCCCAGGGGGGCCGCAGTGGGAACCCTCGCCAGGTGTGGGTCAGGCGAGGAGCCTCAGGTACAAGCCAAGAACACAGGCCACAGCCCGCTTGCCACGGGGGTCTACTGGGCAGCGGGCTGCAGGGGGTGGGCACACGACGGGAAGGACAGGGCTTCCAGAAGCTGGAGGGGAGGGGTGCTGAGGTGGGGGTGGACACACGCTCCAGGGACAATGGGTCAAACATCGTCCGGTGGCTTCCATCTCAAACTTAGACCTCTGGGTCTACCGGTCACATTTCAGGGGCAAGTGGGCTTCCTTCTTGGGGGGAGTGTGAGCAAGCCTGGGAAACTTGTTTCTTCACCATTCCTGCTCCCAAACTCTGAGATGGAAAGTGCCTAGGCTGGGGAGGGAGGAGGGGCGCTGAGAAGTGGCTGTAGTCAGCCCTGTGTTCCAAACCTGCCCCACCCAGCCTAGGTGAGGCCAGCAGGCCTGGTCGGGAAGAACTTCACATAGAAGCTATGCACTTCTGGGGAGTATTGATTGCTCAGCCTAGTTTCCAGCAATGTCCTTCTGGCAACTTCCACCTTGGCCCTGGCCATACAGTTGAGGGATTGAGTCCCCAGTGGCCAGACTGTGCTCCTAGCCCAGTCTGGGTGTTGAGTCTGGGTCTTGGGTCCTTGGGCCTGGCAGCCTGCACCCCACGTACCAGAGAGCAGACAAGGGGCAGGGAACACTTGCTTGTTGAATTCTGGGGTGGTTGAAAAGGCCCAAGCTGCCGGATGGCTTCCTAGGGGCATGATGTGGGGGGTCCCCAGGGGAGCTGCAGAAATGCTGAGAAAAGCAGACCCACGCCAAGGAAGCAGGCAAGAGAGGCCCAGCGGCCACCTGCATCTGTGTTTATTGTTGTGTTCTCTCCAGCCTCAGCAGAGCGTGAGGCGAAGGGTGGCTGAGCCCCTTCCACGGTTCTACAGGGCCAGCCAGACGCAAGTGCATGGCAGCCAGAGTCCACGAACATCCACGGGGGGCAAACCCATAATTCCGCGCACCTGGCACCCCTCGTCTGTACCCTCCATGCTCAGAGCTTCACTGGACTGATGATGTGGCAAGCGTGAGTGCTCAGGCCTCAAAGGGGGGTGGCGCTGGGAGCTCCATGGGAGCCTAGGCAGGCCTCTTGAGGCTGCAGGCACCCCCTTGCTGTGGGGGAGAGGTCGGGGCGCTGAGATGGGTCAGATGCACACAGGACCTCCCCAGGCCACCACTCCCTGAGCTGTCCTTTTCCCCACAGTCCTCACCCCACTGCCGGTCGCCCCTTGTCCCAGGTCTGCACAAGAGCCATCTCTTCCAGAGGAACTGACCTAGTGTGTGTGGCCAGGCAGTGCGGCGCCTCCCGGGGACCCTCTTCCTCCAAGAGCATCAGCACAGCGCAGCGCAGGGGCTTCTGACCAGCCCCGAGAAAGGGAGAGTGAGAAGCCGTGGGCCGGGGGCCGGGGGTCCCCACAGGGTCTGGGAGTCCCTGAACTGAGAGTCTCCGGCTCAGGCCCATGGGTTGAGGTCTGTCGCAGCCGGCCCTGCATCTGTCCGGGCCACCACCCCGGGCAAGGGTGTGAATCCCAGAGGAACCTCCAGTCCGGGCTCAGTGGGGCAACACCTGCCGACCTAGCGGGGAGAGCAAGAGAAGAAGGTCCTGGAGAAAGGCTGGCTGCCAGGGGGCCGGGAGCACTGGGGTACGCTGTGGGGCCCAACAGCCCTGCAGAGGGGGACCTGGAGCCCACCTCCCAGCCCTGGGAGGGTCTTCGGGGCCCATCAAGGGCCAGGGGAGGAGGCAGGATCCAAGCAGGAACCTACCGTCATTAGGAGTAAGCCAGACCCTGAAGCCCCCGGGCTGGAGAGTGGAACTTGTCAGAATCCTCAAAAGGCTGGTCTGTGGGAAGCAAGGAACCGTAAGCCTGTGTTGTCAGGGAATTTCACTGCCTGTCCCCTTCTGGGCAGGGGACAGCCTGAGGCTTCTGGTACCTTCTGAGGGCCGAGCAGTGGAGAGCCCTGGACGTAGTCACCAGCCCTTGCAGTGTCTGAGGCCAGCATGGCCGACACTTGGGGGAGACACCTCTCAGGCCTCTGAGGAAGTGAAGCCCTGTGTCCTTGCTCCCCAAACTCCCTCCTTGGAGAGAGGTTACTCTGGGCTCCTGCCCCCAGCCCTGCTACCTTCAGAGGGACCCTCTCAAGGGGTGGAGGGAGGTGCCCAAGTGCCTGGCAGAAAGGAAAAGAGGCCACCTGTGGGGGGTACAGACACCCTTGAGGCCCCACAGCAGCTGTGACCCTCTCCTGTCTCCCCTAAACTCACCGCTTCCCCCACACCTCACCCCACCCTGCTGTGGTCCTCTGCGCTGGCCGCCCTGACTTTCTCCACCCCGCACATTTTTAGTTCTGGACACACTTAGGTTAAAATTACCCCAAACTTAAATAAAAATACCCCAAACTTGCAAAAAAAAAAAAAAGGCAAAAATACTCTGTGTCCCCTCACATCACCCCAGACCCCAGGGCGCTAACTAACAAGGCTTCCCTAAGAATCACCCGATTTCCTGGCTAGAGCCCTTTTGGATGTTCATTTGGAGACTGATAAATGACACATCACAACCGTTGCACTAGTGACCTGAGGAAAGGGAGACCACGTGGTCTCTGTCTCTTGACGAGGTAGGGTGGGGTGGCCCCTCCCCCCCACCCAGGAGGCTGGGCAAACCCAGAGACCGGCTGGGCAAACCACCTCTGCCTTCAGTTCCCTTCCACCCAGGAGGACCGGTCGGGGAGAGCGGTGTGTGCTGCCCCCTGGTGGGCAGAGGGAGGCACGCAGCCCTGTCGGATGCCTGCAGGGTTGGGTGGCCCCTCTAGGCTCAGCTGAGTGGGGAGGGGCCCTGGAGTGGTTTTCAGACCTTCCCACATGGCATTCGAGGGTATCCAGACTAGCGCCCACCCCAAGCTGTACATGCAAGGGATGTGGGTTCAGATGGATGTCTGGCCACAGCGGAGCATCCTGCTCTGTATCCTTCAGGGAGAAGTGGTCACCCAACTCTGGTGAAATGTGGGTCCCGCCAGCCCCGCCGCTCCACCAGGCGACAGAGGGCCAGGGTGGGTCACTCACCTGGAAGCCCCTCTCCGTGGGCTCTGGGGCAGGCCTGGGGTGGGGAGCTGGGTGGGCGCAGCACGGGAGCGAAGGCGCTCCTCTGTTTGACAGCGGAGATCATGTTGACAGGCGAGAAGGAGAAGACGCTGGTGGTGGGGGCAGCGGCCGGGAGGGACATGGAGGAGGCAGCGGCCAGCGGGGGGCTAGAGGGCATGACTCCGGGGCGGGGCGGGGAGGGGCAGGTGCAGCAGGGGAGGTGGTGGGAGACACAACAGGAAGACAGCACCAGAGTGAGCAACGTGGTCGGGGCCCTGCACCTGCTGCTGACCTGGGCGCCAGGCTCGGGCCTCACTTGGGGCAGTGAGGGTCCTGGGGAGACTAAGGGAGAGCAAGGTCTGCAGTTGGCTGGGGGTCTCTAGGCTCCCGGGCCAGCACTCATCTTTGGTGGGGGTCGGGGGGTGTTCTAGAGACTCTATCAGGGCTGGAACTAACAGGGCCAGTTAGGCAAAAGCAAAAACAGAACCAGATTATCCAAAAAATCAAACACTAGGAGATGCCTCTGTAGATGAGGGATGAGCAAGAGAGGGAACGGGTTGGGGTTCCTGCCGAAAAACTTGGGACTCTGAGATGCAAAGAAACTTTGGTGGACCTGTGGGCATGAAGATTAGTGTCAAAGGCCAGGGCTCAGTGCAGAGCAGGGGCAGGTGATCAGGGCTGCACACGGGCTCCTGACACAAGGCTTCTCTCCAGGATCGTAGCTCACACAAGAACCCTAACATTCTCCACAACAGGCTCCCTCTTCTAGCTGGTCGCTTTCAAAGAAAGGCCTAGGAACCCACATCCTCAGATCTTCCTGTTCTCCTGCCCCTTAGCCGCTAGGGCTGTGCCTGGCCCTTCCATGCAGACTTGGCCTGCGCCTCCATCCAGACCAGGGCATCTTTCAACACGTTCATTTGAACACAAGTCCCTGTCTCGCTCTTCTAAGTACCAATGGGTGATGTTTTGAGTGTTGTCTAAGCAGCTGGCACTGGAGCAAGGGTGAGGGGAAAAGCAATGGCCAGAGAGGCCTCCTTTGGTATCAGAGCCATCCCTTCCCCTGCCCGCCTCACTACTTTGATACAAGAGTGCCTTCAACAGCTGCCCCCTTCCAGATGTCCTCAGCCCATGATGGCCCTCTCCATTGGGCATGCTCAGTGCTTGCCTATGAGACCCACGGAGCTCCATGGATGGCTTGAGACAAATGTAAGAAATGTACCCTTTCTAGCTCAAGGCCCAGGGCCCATATTTTGTAACTTGAATAGCCCCGGCACAGTGGGTCGGAACAGGCTGTTGGTGGCAGAAGGGGAAGAGTGAGAGGGCCCAAATAGGCAGCCCCAAAGCCCCTGGGTAGGGGCAATTCCAGATACCTCTTCTCAGGAAAATCCTGGCAAATGCAGTGAGAATGACCCCCCTGGAGCTGTGCCACAAGGAGTGGACAGGGAGCCCCGTGATCCTGGTCGAGAAATATGACGAGATGAGTCTAGTCTCCAAGTGAGTCCAGGGTGTTCCCAGCTAGTGCTGGGGGCAGAGTTTAAGCAGCGATAGAGTTCTTAGTTCTCCACGGTTGACTGCACTGCGTGGTGGGGCGGCGGGGGGAGGGGGAGGAGTTGGCATTCCAGACCCACCGGTGTCAAATCTGGGGGTATCTGGAGAGTGGTTGTCAGCATGCTGTCCCAGAGCTGAAGAGAAGCTGGAGCAGTGGGACCCGACCCGAGCAAAGGGTCAGGAAGGATCGGGGTCTTGGGAAGGACACCAGAGGGCCGTGGCCCCTGTGGAAGCTGGCATATAGGGCTTTGGGTCCCAGAAGTTAAGCCCTGGGCCAAGAGGAGAGAGCCAGGCTCAAACCCACAGCCAGAAAGCGTAGGTCAGCCAAGGAAGGCCAGACAGCTGACCAGCAGTAACAAAACCAGACAGTCCTCAGCAGTAACAAAAGCAAGACAAAGGACCGGCACCAGAACTGCAGGAAAAGCCACCAGCAGCCTCTCAGGCAGCTGTTTCCTCCTGCCTCTCAGCAGCCTCTGCAGGACCTGAGGTGCACACCGTTTTGCACCTGGCAGATTTGGAGGTGATTATCCTCCAACCTGGTGTCTGGTGTTTTGCGCAAAGTGGGTGCTTTATAAATGTCTACTGAATAGGTAAGCTAAGAGACCTTGTAAACGGACTGTTCTGAAACTTGGTGTTGAAAGGAGCGACTTAAAAGCCGTGCAAACTGGCCTAAGTACCATCGCCTGTGGCCCACCCAGGCAGCACTCAGCTGTCCCACTCACGCGACAGCGGATAGTCAGTGTCCACAGAGCTGGGGCTGTGAAATCACAGACTCTTCTGGATTGCCTGGTCCCCTTAAGCACCTCCAAAAAAGAGGACAGTTCCAGGCAAGAGGGTGATGTAGATCCCCTTTTACAGACAAAACTGAAGTTCAGACACCCAAAGTAACTAGCTGAATGTCAGAAAGCTCTTGATTTGAATATCCAAACCCAGCTATTCTGAATCCAGAATCCTCTGGCTCTGTCCCCGAATATCAGGGACACACCTTCCCCTCTCTGACTCTGGCCTCTGAGACCCAGGGTCCCACCCCGTCGCGGGACCAGGTGGAAGCGACCTTTTCTTGAGCCCTGAGTTTCATCAGGCTGCCGGCAGGGGGCGCCAAGCACCGCCCGAAAACCTAGCAAACGCTGGAAAGGTGGGAGGGCGAGAAGTGATGTGTACAACTGAGGTCTGCAAAGAGCGGAAGGTGCAAGAACTGCTCCCGGCCGGGGGTTGAGGGGCGGGCCCCCAACGGCACGCGGAGAGGGCTGTTACTCCCGGGACAGTGGCTGGAAGGCTCCCTTCCCCCATGGGCTGGGAGGGGGCAGGACGGAGCCCCATTCTCCTTCCCAGAGCCCCCGTCTCTCCCTCCGTGGGCAGGGGACACTCACTGGCGAAGGGTGAGGTGGCCGTAGAGCCATTGAGGAAGCTAGGAGACCCCGGCACGCCGAGGCCGGCCACGCCTGGCGCCCCGTAACCGCCGAGGCCAGCGCCGAGGCCACTGCCGTAGCTGCTTTGCTGCGACCCGGGGCTGGGCGCGAACCCGCGGGGGGACGCGCTGCTGCAGCTGCGCGCGTAGCCTAAGAGAAAGCGGCGGTCAGGGCAGCACCGCAGGCAGGCAAGGGGCGCCCCGCCTCGGGGCCCTCCAGGAGGGCGAGGAGTGGGGAAACGCACCCGGCTCCGGTCCCGGCGTGGCGTCCCCGACGGCGATGGCCAGCGGGCTGCTGAAGGCATTGATGCCCACCACGGCGGGGTGCGGGTGGCTCGGGGCCAGGGAGCCCAGCGGCGCGGGCGCGCGGGGGGCGCTGTACAGGGCCTCGGCCACGTCCGCAGCGCGCTTCAGCAGTAGC